AAGACATTTGCAACAAGAGGCCATTCAGCTGCGACCAGCAATGGGAAGGCCAGCTGACATTTTCTGCCCTTTGTGGTGTTTGGCCTCACTGTTGTCGTCTCTTCAGCCTCTCAGCTCACAGACCATCATACGCAGGGAAGACTCAGGGTGATGACGACCTTCTATTGTTGCATATACTACTGACTAGTAACTTAGGACTTGTCGAGCATATATGGCGATGTCCCAAGCATTTTCTCAAGTCCTATGTCATCAGGCCACAACCATCACAATCCATGGAAAATGAGACGTTCAGTGAAGAGGCGTGTTTTTTAATGGTGGAGGCGTCCAAGGTCCTATGACACCAGGTTTCCCCACCTAGACATCCTGTATTGCTCGATGTGTGAGCGCAGATGACCTAGCCCTGTGGGTAGCCGTGTGGGTATGTCACTTGAACCACATTTGCCTGAGTCACTAGACAGTAGTATAAAACAGAGGAGTCCTCTTCCGGAAAGGAAAATGCAATGAAGGTGATTCACAATCCAACCAAGCCGTCTGTTTGCATGGACGGTCTCAGTTGTGATGTTCGCCCCGGCTCAACAAAGCCCTTCTGCAGGACCTTATTTGCAGTTTTCACCAAGTCATTTTGACCTTGGCTAACATACATTCAAGCGCATTATGATGCATTATGTGTGGAGGTTCGCGAAGTCTCTGGCGTAGGACCTTTGCAAAGTGGCTTTACAACATGTCCTCAAATTCAGTTTCCGCCGATTTCCAGAAGCCAATTCGCACAGGCTAACTTAGAGTCTATGAAAGGTTGAAACGTTTGCGAAGGTCCTGGATTTTTGCGAAACTTTGCGAAGCCAACCCTTCCAGAAACTGTAACCCCTTGAACCCCCCAGCGTAGGCACCCTAGCAGTGTATACTAGCAGTGTATTTGTATATGCAAATTACTTTACCTTAGCATGTGAGACGGTCAAGAGATTGCTTGGAACACTGTGGGCCACAGCTCTAGGCAGCCACTGATGCAACGGAGAGTTTGCCCAAATGCATTCCACTTGCTGTGATTGATAAACGGGTCAAGGATAAGACACAGCTGGCTGGGAGTGTTACTTTGCAGCGCCATATGCTCATCCAGCCAGACCAGGACAGCGTGCCTCAACATGGGAGGGGCGGGGCAGCCTTTTAGGAGGGAACCAAGAGTTTCAATAGAGCCCAAGTCACAGTTCTAGCTGATGCATTCAGTATGCAACGTGAGCATTTTGTTTGAGTTTGTTTAGTCTTCGTTAGTCAGCAGTTGGACCTTGGTATCGCTCCACTCAAACAAAATCATGAAACACCGCTAGGACGGTAGGAAGTATGAGATATATCACCAAACTATTCCGATTGCGCTAATCCTTGTGGAAGAGCCAAACCTCCTGCAGCCACGTCGACCAACGGGTCGACAGACGGGTCGACAGAGATGTTGATGAAGAGCCAAGGAAGGGCATCTCTCGAGCAGAGGACAAATGCGCTCGCTTCGAAGAGATTTGCACTCTGAGAAAACTGCACTCTGAGGTTGATAACTGCTTGACGGACGCATATGGCTGCAAGTAGATGGCCGACTTGTTGTCCTTCGCGCCTTAGGATCCCAACAGCCTTCCCGAGAGGCGCGGTTGAAAAAATGACGCGCGGGTCGATGGATGCATTTTTCTGAGCTAAAAGGCCGAGGGTGGCCTTTTCTTTGCATCAGTCGACTCAATTACTCGTGCTGCTTTTTTGCATGTGTAGGTGCCTACATTGCCTTTTCAGAAGCCAGGTTACACGAAAAATCACCCACAAAAACAGGATGGACAGGGCAGCCTCTCTCTCTCTCTCTCTCTGGTGAAATGCAGGGCAACATCCTTTTACACGGCTTAAAGGCAACATTTGATGCTGCGCTCCCTGCCCTCGAGGCACAAGAATCTCTACGGCTTTGTGCGGATGAAAGTAACCTGGACACACCTCTGTGTTGTCAGATCCTTTGCTTCAACCCCAGAGAAATGCTTCGAGCTTCCCACTGCCCGCAAGAACCTTCGGAAGGCCTCCGACTGCTCGTTTGAAATCCCTTTGCTGTGGTTTGGTTCCAGACACTGCATTCCGTGAAGGTCCATGTGAATTAGGAATGTCAATCAAAGGGAAACGGTGTTCATTCAACCATACACTTGTCATCATTTCAAGAACACGTCATTGCGTATGGCTTGGTGGCAGGATCATGAACTCAAATTTGCGGCTTCAGAGACTTCACTTCAAGAACTGAGCTGAACGATGACTGGTGCATCTGACGTGACGTGCCCGTGACCTTCGCCTTGAGCGACGATCGCTCGTTCGCCTTCGGCCGTTCGGCCTTACGAGCCGCGGGGAGCGGCTTCAGAGTGATCTGCATGAATGGTTTGTATCCATCTGGTTTTATAATTGGATACTGAACTGAATTGGATATAATTGGACTTATCTCGCCCCTTAATTTTCCAAGGGTTATAGAGTTTGCTCTATCTCTGTCGGTCTTGCGGGGCCCTCTGCCATGGATTGCCCACCTTCACTGGATGACCAAACCCAGCATTTGTTGGGGAGATGAGCAAGGCGGACTTAGTAGAAAGCCGAAGTGATGAACACCTGATATACCGTCGATTCAAATCAAAAACTTAGACCTGGTTTCGGCCTCAAGTTCAACGGATTCGACCTGATGCTCACAACATCTGAGCTGAACCTTGGCGGATTCCTGTGCGCCAGTGGTGTACAATCATATTGGGGAAAGAAGGATCGCAGCTGTTGGGTAGCACAGTTGAAGTGCGCAACATGTTCAACATGCTGCCTGGGCTTGAAAGCGACAGCCTCTTCTGTCGCTAGGAGCCCAACCTGCAAGTCAGAGTCAATTTGCATTTCGACGGATCTCGGCGGTGGCGATTCCCACCTTCAGGTGGCTTTGACAGGCCCTTGGTTCTTGCTGAGTTCACGCAACTTTCTGAAGGGCTTCTAACTGAGATTGCTCTGCGAAAAAGCTGCAGCCATTTGTGTGATTGGTCACTTGATTCTGATTCTTATTTATGATCATGCTTGAGTGGTGTGTGGACGAACGATGCATTATACTATGCTGCACGCCATCATATTTCAAGGATGCTGCTTTACAACATTTTTTTTCAAGCGCATTTTTTGTGTGTCAGCATCTAGAATCTAGCCCTTACTTACCGACTGCTATTGCCCTCAAACAGCTCAACTAATCCGCTCAACCCATTCCATCTCATTCCACTTTCTTAACAGTCACCCTTCTAATGCAGCTGTTCAGCTTAAACATGCCTCTATGGTTGACACAACGCACCAGCGGAACCAAAGGTTTTTTGATGTCTTTTCTTGGGTGACGAAGTGTAGCAAGATCTTTTAATGTATCGCGGAGACATGTCGAGTGTGGCGCAGGGTAGGCTCTGTGCTTTTGTCAATCTATGATCTATGCTACATGCTGGTCAATCTGTGATACTCCAGAGTCCAGAGGTCATTGTAATTCACCGCAACAGTGGAATCGAAGACGCAACCTTTTCCATCATGGAGCCTGTATGGAGGCTGGAGTTCCAAAAGCCCGGGTCAAGTACTGTAATGACTGTAAGTAAGTGGAGTAGTTGTAACCAGACGAGGCCGGATGTTGAAGAGAAAGCTTGAAAGTAGCTTTGTAGAAGGAAACTGAGTTCTCCAATGGGTGTTGGTTTGTGGCAAGGATTGTCGTTTTGCAGGATTCGCACCTGCCCCAGCCAGCCACACCTGCAAGCAACTGCCCGATCCTAAGTGTGTGGGATGTCAGGGGAATGCAGGGAGTTGAACTAGCGGATTCCTCATGTGAGGCCTCTAAGGTTTCGCTTGGTTCAAGGGGGTTAGCACAGTCTGAGTGTACATGATCTTGCTTTGATGTTTGGTTGAGAGCCTAACTTACGCTGTTTTGTTTTGACACCCGCCGATGTGGGCGTATCCTGCTTGTTCGTTGCCTGAAGATGGAGACAATTTTAAAAAATCCACTGCTACGCTTGGGCTGGCTCACCCCCTTGGTGATGATGTTTGTTTTGGTACTTACAAGGCCCTTTCGTGTGTGGTTTGTTGCCACTCCAACGGTCTGGTGATTGTTGTGTTGGTTCTTAGCCGCTGAATGAAACATCAACCCACCCATGCCCGACATGGAGGACCGTACCCAATGTCTAGCTTCTGGCTCAAGGTCAAGGGGCCGGAACTCTGATCACCCATCAAAGCATCGGTTGCTTCAACCAGTTCTGTAAACCCAATAATCTCAGAACGTGAATGATCCCAACAATTAAACTTAGTTATCTAATAACCTGCTTTTCCTAGAAACCACCGCTACAGTACCGCTACAGCATCATTGGATATCATTGGATCGTTTTTCCCCACTCTCCGACCAGATGTCCAGATTCTTTTCGATCAAGGCACCTGTGGATTTCTTCAGCTCCGAGCCATGGCTACGGAGGTGGCACGGGTTTTGAGTGCCAAGGGCCACCGGCAGACCTTATGCCTCGAGGGGACGACTGTCACGGCCGACGAGCTTAGGCGCGGATGGTCGGCATCGAAACGGTGGACGTTTGCGGTATGATTGAAGGGCTCTGAAGGTGATTTTCCATGCCCTCAATGGCAACTTGCGATCCAAGAAAATCATGTGGGGTTAGATGAGGGCAAGTATGCAACCAAAATGAAACGTGAGAACTATCAGTTGCAAAAACTATACAAACACATGCACGCATCCTGATTCCTGATGTCATTTCATGAACGCATGTTTGCGGCCTTTTTTCACAATGGAGGAGACAATACCGGAAGCTCGCGCTGCTGGTGCATCCGGACAAATGCTCAAGCCCTGATGCTAAGGCGGGGATCAATTTAGAGTCGCCGATGTTGTGAGTGGTTTATCAGCATCAGATATCATCAGGAAGTTTACCACCTAGAAGAGGTCCAAACAACGGTGCCGCATGGGATTGTTTGCCCTCAATGATAGTGCTGTAATTGTAATCGTGTTGATGATTCCAGTTCATCCAGCCCTGGGATCTTGCAAAAAGCTCCATTCAACTCACACCCAAATCCCTGAGATCTTTCCCAGAAGTGGGACCTTCATGCAGATTTTTTGACTGTTTGACCAACAACCCCCACTGTCTTCAGGCTGCCTTCCAAAAGCTCAGCGAAGCTTTTGAGCATCTCTCTGCGGAATGCCATGGCGAGCGGGACGAAGGGGGTGTGAAGCGCGGTGCCCGGTGTGATTCCACTGGGCCGATGAAGCGCGCCAAGAAGCGCGAGCGGCCCTGGTGGGATACCACCTGGGAGGAGTGCAGAGTCGCACTGCTTTTCGGAGTTTGTCCGTGTTCGCAATTTGATCTCGAGTACGGCAAAACATCCAAAAAATCGTTACTCGTAGTAGATTGATCGTTGTATGTTGTTCTACATGTCCAAACCTATGCCTATACGGTATACTATATTTCTCACGTTGCTTCGGGGGCATTTTTCAGCATGATAAAGAACATGCGTGAATCTTGCTCTCACTTGGATCTATCTCACAAGACAAGAGCCCTGGGCCAGGGACTCACACACTGCAGTCAAATTTGCATCCTTTTTTGAGCCATAGCCACTTACTTCCACTTACTTGGGCACAAGTTTGACTCAAATGCACCCCCCTTCGAGGAGTTTGAGCGCCGCTTCCGTGAGCAGAACGCCGCCAACCGCAGCGATGTGCGTTACGAGCAGGAACTGATGCCTGGAAGGAACTGAGGGTGACATGGGGCATTCACAGGGCGAGGCTGACACGCTGTTTGAGCCGCAGGTGTAATGCATTTGTCATCCCACATAGATGGACACCTACTAGAATGATGCTTTTGATGCTTTTCACTTTCGAAAGGGGAATTGCGCAACTTTCCGTTCTTTCACACCGGCTGGCTATCTTAAGAAGCATTCACCTGACAGGCCTGGTCCTTCGTTGATGGGTGACTCATCGGTCGGAGAATCGGTCTCCAAGCCCAAGGCGTTTATGAGGTTCTTGTTTTCTCCGGCGAAAGCGGGGTGAGGTCCATTGCTCAAATCAAACCCGAAGGACACAACTTGTGACCAGTGTGTAGAGCCCATCTCAATGGTTGTTTTCTTGGGCGGTCAAGAGCACACTTGCAAAACAAAGCCGGCTGATTCTGAAGATATCACCATTGAGAAAAGAAAGGATCACTTTCAAGACAGTATTGCAACATCACTTCTACTTGCAGGGAACTGACCAAGTCCTTTCCCAAACCATGCAATCATCAAACATTGATGGGGGAGGAATCGTGGCTCCTTTGTGGTCCCTGCAGGGAAACTTTGCATGTTATAACAACCTTATTTGGAACAAGACTAACCCACACGTCTGACTAACATAAACTCCAAGACTCCAAAGTTCTTCTTTTTTAACCTATAATTGGGCTGACCTGTGGGATTCCTGATCATAGCGTCGCCTGTTTTTTTTTAAAGATTTTAGGTGCTTTGAATCAATCCAAGATCCACAATGCTGCAGTCTACAGTCGCAGAACCCACTTGGCATGCAAATGTCGGAATGTGTCATGCTTTCTCAAGATAAACCCAAGATAGATTCCCGAAAAAGAGGCCCAAGGCAACTCTATGAGACCAAACTGGGATGGTCCAAGCAGATCTTTGTGTGAATTTGTATTGATTAACTTTGGACCATAAGGCTGCGATTGGAAATATCGGCTGGTTGCCGTTTCCCACTACTTCATCCCAAATTGTTCACTCAGCAAAGTGAAATGCATAGAACAAGCGGAACTTCTGATCAATGACGCCTGCTACCACACGCTGAGGAAGGGCCACCTGCTGCGACAGCTGAAGGAGCAGATCCTGGAAGCGGAGAAGTCCGCCGAGCACTGCGACCGCCGCTTGGTGGAGAGTGGGTGCTAGGGCCTGCTAGGTATTTGGTGGCTGAATAGACTCAGCTAGACCGGGTTGCATGGAGCAAAAAACCAGAGGCCACTGGATGCTACCAGGCGCTCCTGGCCGTACTACTAGGAACAAGAAGCTATTAGGGGCTCCTGGCATCGCTACTAGGAGCAAGGAAGCACTAATAGCTCCTGGCCTTACTACTAGTAACAAGGAGCTACTAGTAACAAAGGGCATCGCTACTAGGAGCAAGGAAGCTACTAGGGCCTCCACTCGGCCGTCGGAGATGGAGCTTTCGGACGGTGCAACCGGGGCTCCAAGGAACGGAGCGCCGCAGGTGTACGATGACGTATGACACAACATACGTAGGACGTATGTGTGAACACCGAACTTGAGGACACAACATAGGAACATTTTATTAACATTATATACTATGTTACTATGTTATATATATAAGTGTTTCATAAAGTTTCTCAAAGCAATCATGGCACTGCAAAGGGCTAGTCGAGAGATGTTGAGAGAAGCGCTACTTAGAGCAAAATTTGCGGGTAGAGTTGCGGAGCTTCTAGTTATGATTTCTTAATTTTTGTCGTTGCTGATGGAAGGTTGGACCCTCAGTTTGATAGATTTCTTCGCGGTGGAATTCACCAATAAGAGTTTTGACCAACAACTGCAGAAGCTCTTTCTTTGCAGCCACCAGCATGGTTTTGACATCTGACACACTAATTAAAGGGCTTTGGCAAGAAGAACTGCTTTTAATATCCTTTAATTCTCTCTCTGCTGCTCAGGTACTGCAGGTCTCCCACGCAACCAGTGCTGGCGGCACCGTTCCGAGGTCCCGTTGGGGCCAGAGCAGGAGAGGATGCGGGTCCTGCGCGAAGCATGGCCGAACGCTTTTGGTGTTCTACCAAAGAGATGGCTGCCTTGACTCCCTCCAACAAGATCGCCGAGAGTGAACGAACTGAACTCTGTCATGTGCAAACTTTGACACATGATGTTGTTGCCGCTGACTGCCATCTTCCAGGTTGTATTGAAGTTGAACTTTATGGGTTACTTTTTGTGACGTGCGCTGGAGGAGCTGGCTGCCGCCAAAGCTCAGCTGCAAGACCTTCTGTTGCATTTGAGAACCAAGCATCGAGACTTGTCCAACATTGGCTATCATAGGGAGAGCCATGACTTCTACATTGGGGACAGTTTTGGCAACTGGGATGTATTATAACTGTTATATCAAAGTGATATAGAGTGACTATACGAAGCTAGTAAGCAGAGTAGTTGTATGGGGTGCGAATCAATGCAGATATATTATATTGTTGCATTTGTGAGCCATCCCACATGGACTTCGGACTGCTGTATCAGAACGATTGTTGAGGTTCGCTCATATCAGCAGGTTGTTGAGGTTCCATTGACAGACCGATCTATTGAGGGAGCAGCAGACATGCTGGCAAGAACTCAAGTGCATCTGATCTATATATGGGCACTGACGTACCTTTTGGCATGTTGCTGATGTGCATTTTGTCTTGGGCCAATCTCAACCAACCTCGCAGAACTCAGTCTGGTCTCGTAAGATCCGAAAGCTCCGAGGATACTGTCTCTATTGCGGCTGTGTCTTCAAGTCCCCAGAGGACTTAGCCAAAAGCTGCCCAGGAGCCACTCAGGAGGCGCATGAAGCGTTGCCTGGCCGAGATGTTGAGTGTTGGGCCCTTCCAGGTGAACAAACCATGTCCATTTAGAAGCCACGGCAAGAAGAGGGTTTGATTTGGATGTACTTTGGTGAATGAGATGAAGACCGCAGTTCAGTTAATACTTAATACGTACGTATAAATATATAAGAACACGTATAAGTGTTATAATATGTTGGGACATGTTGGGACTCCTCTTCAATGTTTCTGGTGTTCAATTCTAGGGGCCTTTCTAGGTCTTGCCCATAGGGACTGTGGGTTGCATTTTGGCCATGACTGCCAAGAATTTAGGTCCGGATCGAAGAGCGCAGAGACCAGTGAAATGATGAAGTTTGAAGCTGACCCATTGGACACCTTTATGTCCAACATGGAAGCCGATGCTTGGTGGCTTTGGTGCCCAGCTTGTTTGCCTTGCTTTTGTTTGGGTGGAAGATTGGCTTAGATTCTTATATATATATATATATATATATTGAAGAAGCATGCTGCTAGCAAGGTGTCTTGGACAGGAAGCACCCATGTGTTTGGCGTCTGCAGGCGCCTCAGCCAAGCTACGTTCGTTTGCCCCGGTGAGAAAACCGCGTTCGCACGTGTGCCATAGACTCGTGCTGCATCAGTGGCACCGGAGCCTCTTTTGGTTGCCGCTCTAGGACCTTTGGAAGCTGTGCCCGGCCGCTGCGCGGCCGCCTGCCTGGCTTTTGCTTCAGGGCTTCTTGCACGACACCTTGGTCGCCCTTGAGATCGAGGACGGTGATCCAGGCGGTTCACTGGGTTTCGATTAGGGAGATCGAGATTGAGCTCCTTTGTTTTGGCCACGGTGGCCTTGGTGGACAAGCGTCCCTGTTGGTTGGGACGAGGGCGAATTTGAGTTTTTGCTGTTTCACGACCCTTTTTTCCTTTTTGAGCTGGGCTTCATGGCAGACGAGAAGGATGCCAATGCAGGCGCCTGGACGAGGGTGCCGACATGGGATGGCTCGCCACAGACGTGGCGGAGCTTCAGAAAGGAGATGTCCTGGTGGCTGGCTGGCCTGGACATCCAAAGCACGAAGAAATACAACCTGGCTGCTCGCTGGCTCTTGCGGCAGTCAGGGGTGGTCCGTCAACGTGGAGAGGAATTTGATCCTCGCGACCTCGAGTTCCAAAAGGAGATCAAGATGCCGAATGCCGAGACCGGCGATGATGAGGTTGTGGTGGAGGAGGATCCACTCAGTGGGATCAACAAGCTGCTCACGGCCCTCGAGGAGATGACAGGTCGATCCTCTTTGGACAAAAGAGGAGAGTTGAGGAATGTCTTCTACCTCGAACTGAAGCGCAAGTCGGGAGAACGCATCTCTGAGTTCGCCACCCGCTATAGAGGCTTGGTTGCTGAGTTGAAAGCTGAAGGAGTCACCATCCATGATGGTGAACTTGGCTGGTGGTTCAAGCAAAAGCTTGGTTTGGACCCTCTTCGAACTCAGCTCCTGGAAACTGCCCTTGCAGGTGCCGAGGACTACCCGACCATAGAGCGTGAAGTTTTGAGGTTGTTCAAAGATCTTCATGCAGCTGATCCTCTCTACCGCCGTTCCGGCGATGCGGACCAGAAGGCCCCTTTGTTGAGCCGCTTCTTGAACCAGCAAAGCGGGGCTAGCAGGGCTTCTTCCTATGCTCCATCAATGACGAGCTCGGCGGCACGGTCTTTGAGATCGGGTTCTTCTACGGCTTCCTCCGGAAGGATGACGCCAAGCTCCACGTACCGCCGGCCTTTCCAGAAACAGGCCATGGTTTCTGAGGTTGAGGAGGAGATCCCGGCCACTGCTGAGGCTGGTGATGATGATGGAGTTGAGGAGGAGGTTGAACCCCCTTCCCTGGAGGAGGTCTTGACCACTGAGGCCGAGGTCTTGGCGGCTGAGTTGGATGCCGCTGCATCTCAGGGAGTTGACCCTGAGACCCTTCAGGAGATCGAGGAGAGTGTTGAGGCTGCAGCTGAAGCCTTCCTGACCATGAAGGAAGCCAGGAGCAAGTTGCAGGAGGTTCGAAAGGACCGTGGATATGGCAAGGCTGCTTCATCATCCACGAGCTCTCCCGCATCCAAGGTGAGTTTGAAGAAGCAGTCGGACAAGCATCCTTGCTTCGATTGTGGACTTCCTGGTCATTGGGCCGGGGATCCTGAGTGTTCGAAGCCTGGCCAACAGCTCGGGCGCAAGAAGAAGGTGGCTCCAAAGCAAGTGAAAGTTGCAGAGGCGCTGAACACGGAGCACGAGGAGATCACAACACCTGACCATGAAGTGATGATGCTCCGACATGAGTCACCTGTCCTCACCGACGCCTTCCTGTCTACTGTACAGCGATTCCATGAACCCAAAGAGGTGAACGCTTTGGGCCTCGCACTGGACAAAAGATTGGTGGGCGCTTTGGACAGCGCATGCAACAGAACATGCACGGGGGCTGACTGGTTGAAGGGCTATCTTCGTGGTTTGGAGACATCAGCCCCTTCTGAAGTGTTGGACCTCGTTCGTCGTGAACCTGAACGTGAAACCTTCCGCTTCGGCAATGGGGGCACCCAGGTGAGTGAGGAGAGGTGGAGGTTACCCACTATGATTGGTGGAACCGTGGTTTGTTTTTGGACGTCGGTGGTTCCTGTGAGCTCGTTGGGTCTTTTGTTGGGGCGGGACTTTTTGGAGGCCATCGGAGCGGTGATGAATTTTTCTCGCAAAGCCTTGCGTTGTGACCTCACCGACGGCACCGAGATCCCCCTCAGTCAACTCGCTGCAGGCCACTACGCCTTGCACCTTCTGCCAGAACGATGGCCAGGTCTGGACCCTCAGAGATGGAGACGTCTCGGTTTAGATGGTGTTTTGGAAGTTCAGTTTCCTTTTCAGCAGCTCATTCGTCGTCGGTTGAAGACAAAAGGCAATTTGTTCAAGAAGACGGTCACGACCAACCATGACCATTTTGTGACCGAGAGCAGCATGCAAGCCGGTCGACTCGTGAGCACTATGTTGTCTTCGGATCGTTTTGGCTCGGTTCAAGCGCCTTCCATGTCCGCAGTTCCTGTGGATGTGTTGCTGACGACGACTTCATCTTCTACCAGGACGACTCCGAGCTCTACTACCAGAGATGATGGGCAGCGAGGCCTCAACCTCAGGGAACAAGATGGTGAACCTGTCACTGACTCGGTGGCGAAGGTTCGTGCTGAGGCTCCGCGAAAGGTTTCTCTGGGCGGTCAAAGGAGTGTTTTTGTGGGCGCTGCCAAGGCCGCACTTGCGCTACTTGCCGTTGCCCTATCCCTCCACGGGGACGCCGGATCGCTGGCTGCTGCAAGGCCAGAAGCAGGTGGCCGATGGGCACGGGTGCAAGAAGCATTTGGATCTGGCCTACACCATGGACAGGTTCGTCTACAAGAACTTGACCGAGTGCGGTCATTGGCGGGACCGCATGGGCGCGGTGACCTCCTTCTGCGAAGATCCGGTGGTCATGGGAATGATCCATGGCAAGACGGCGAAAGGCCTCAGGGACAAGATGAAGAATGCCGCCATGGAGGAGGCCCTCAAGGAAGCAAAGGAGGCGGAAGCCGCCGGCAACAAGGAGGAGATGGCTCGAGCCTTGATCGGACCTCGAGGAGGACTGCCGTCGCTGCGAGGAGACTTGCTGAAGCTCGCAGCCTTGCTGAACGTGGAGATCAAGGCAGAGGACAACGTCGAGACCATCAAGGTGAAGCTGCGCCCCATGGTCAACCTGCTGAAAGAGAAGCCTGCGCCGCCACAAAGCAAGGCGAAGTCCAAGGCAAAGGCCGCTCCATCCAAAGCTCAAGGTTGGACGGTGGGCTACAGCGCCGGCCTGGTGACAGAACCCTCTCCCGGGATGGTTTCCTATCAGCACTTGATCGACATGCGCAACCGGTTCCAGACGACCCTCGACAGCATGGCACTCGAGATCCAGGAGTTGAAGAATCAGCAGAAGGAAGCGGGCAATGTGGACTTGACCTCCCTGGGCAGGTCCCGCTCCGCCAGTTCCATGTCTCAGGACCCGGTGGTGGATCAGCAAATGCGGGAGGACGCAGCCCAGTCGCTGGAGAACGCCTACGAGGACCACCTAATGGCCTATTACGGGACGAGTGCACTGCATCTGCTGACTCGAGAGGACCGCCAGAGGGCCTTGGACCCGTGAACCCCTTCATGTTGCACCAGTCGTTGAAGCCCGGTCAGGCCACTTTGATTGCTCAGGCCTGGGCTCAACATGAATCCGACAGGAAGCGGATCTCTCAGGAGCCTCGCAAGATCCGTCAGATCCTTGAGGCGGAGTACTACCAGGACATGGAACACTTCATGAATGATGAGACCTTTTTCCAGCACATTGACCTCCACCCGCACTCCAATGACGTGCATGTGAATGAAGCCGTGACTGGGAAGAGGAGCAGTCCGTTGCTGACTGAGGTCTATACGACCGCCCAGAATGTCTCCAAAGTGGCTGCTCAAAGAGGTCATCATGTTGGCCAAGCGATGAGCCTGGAGACGGGGTGGAATTTTCTTCGAGCCGACCATCGAGCCCTCGCCAAGGAGAAGATTCAGAAGGAGAAGCCCTTTTGCTTGGTGTTGGCGTTTCCTTGCGGGCCCTTCAGCCCGCTCCAACACCTCAATGCGAGAGGAAAGAGGACTTGGCCTCAGAGACTTGAAGATGGTCGAACGTTGATGCGCTTTGCTCTGGAGCTGGCGAAGTTGCAGTTGAAGGAGAAGAGACATTGCATCTTGGAAAATCCCAAGCCATCGGCGGCTTGGAAAGAGCCTGAGATGCGGAAGTTCATTGAGGAGAACGACGTTCATGAGGCTGCCTTCGACCAATGCCGTTTTGGGTTGATGAATCTGGCCGGACAACTGCATCGGAAGGCAACTGTGGTGGCGAGCTCTAGTCCTTTGGTGGTGGAGCGACTTCATGGTATGTGTTGCAGGCGTGACCATGACCATGCACAAGTGATCGGTGGGTCAAAGGTGACAGCTCATGCGGGCATCTACCCCTTGGCCTTAGCCCGTGCTTTCGTTCGCGGCATCGAGGACCAGTTCGACAAGGACCACAAGGCCTATGAGTTGCTGGCCGTGGATGTCGGTGGAAATGAAGAAGAAGATTCACATCCCGCAGTTCATGATGTTAGCGAGGATGAAGATGATGAGTATCAACTGCAACCCAGTGAAGCCAACATGACCATCCCCGCGGCCATCAAGGCAGCCATCAAACGACTCCACGAGAACACAGGTCACCGCAGCAATCGTCGCTTGGCACGCGCCTTGACTCTTGCTGGAGCCCCTGTTGAAGCCATCGTGGCTGCCAAGCGTCACAAGTGCGACGTTTGCCGGGAGCGAGCTCCACCAAAGTTGAAGAGACCAGCATCGCTTCCTTCGCCCAAGGATTTTGGTGACCAGGTCCACATCGACCTTTTGGAGGTGGAAGATGGGCGCGAGCAAAAGTATGTGATCGCTCACTGCACCGATGCTGCCACCAAGTACCAAGCCGCAGAGATTTTGCCTAACAAGTCCACTGCAGCTGTGATTGAGTTCCTGAGCAAGCGGTGGGTTCCCGCCTTCGGCCCTCCTCGTGTTCTTGTTTGTGACCAAGGCCGTGAATTCATTTCCTGGGAGATGGAGGAATGGGCTAGCTCTATGTCGGTCATGCTTCATCATGTGGCAGTGCAAGCCCCATGGCAGAACGGCATCGCGGAGAAATCCGGAGGGGTGCTGAAAACCTTGATGTCCGCCATCGTGACGTCCAAGAGTGTGGTCACCAAGGATGAGATGGAGATGGCTTTGGGGGAGGCTGTGGCGGCATACAATGGTGATGTCGATGGTGAGTCAGGATGCTCCCCCTATCAGGCAGTCTTGGGACGACAGCCACGCATGGTGGGCGATGTTCTGGGCGGGGTGCAACAGCGCCTCAGTGAACATGGGCTCATCGAGTCCAAACCTTCTTTGGCCCGGCAAGTGGCACTCCGTGAAGTCGCGAAGCTTGCGATGACCCGGCTGCATTTCTCTCGAGGTTTGAGGCGAGCTGAACTGGCGAGATCCCGTTCCTCTACGGTGGAAAATGCTCCCAAGCCTGGAACGGTCTGCTACTTCTACCGTCCTTTGAGGTACAATAGCAAGACCGGGCAAAGCAAGAAGAAGTTGACCTTGAAGCGATGGCATGGGCCCGCCATGATGGTGGCTCAAGATGGACATGCTTCGGCTTTCCTCTCCTACAAGGGTCAACTCACAAAATGTGCGCTTGAGCATGTGCGAGTGGCATCGACGATGGAGCAAATTGCTTCAGGGGCATGGGGCGAAGCCATCAAGGAGGCGGTGGAGGATGCCAAGTATGAAGTCGCGCTGAGACAGCCCCGTTCCGATGCCAACACTCCTGAGGAGCCTGGACCACAACCTCTACCTGCCCTACCAGAGACTACCGCTGAGGGGGTGAATCCTAGGACTCCAGCATTTCTCCCATCCTCGACTGAGGCAATGCCTGCCGAAGAGAACCAGTTAGATGGCGAAGACCTACCTCCAGTGAAACCACAGGAGCTCTGGCAGATGATGGTTCCCTCCAGTTCTCCCGTTACATCCCAGGTGGCTTCAACATTGCCTTCGAGGAGGGTGAGTGATTTTTCCGAATCTCCTTTTCCAGAAACTACACGGAAGGCTTTCAGCCGGAAGTCTTCGGGTCTCCCACTTGAGACCGTGCGAGAAAGGGCAAAGATACTGGACGATCGTTCTGAGACAGGCCAAAAACGACCTGCCGATGTGGACATCGACCAGTTGCGAGATCAAGAACAAGGACATTCTTCGACGGCAGCGGCCAGTGGAAGTGGAGCAGAGCATGACACACTTCTTGGTGAGCGGTTGACTCCAGCGGAGATTGCCGATGAACTAGGTCAGGACGATCTTCATCCCTTGAGAAAAGCCTACCTCCTGGCCGAGCAGGACAAGCGAGATCCTCTGGAGGCCATGGTTCCGGATCACGGGACTTGGCATGGAAAATGGACCTTGCCATCGCGCTCTGAATGGCAGGCCCGACAAAACTTGGGTCTGGACTGGCCTACCGGTGATTCGACGGAGGCAGAAGTTTTGGCCGTGCAAGCGAACCGCAAGGAGTTCCGCTGGAAGACGATGTCTGAGAAGGAGAAAGAGGCCTTCAAGGAAGCGGCCAGACAAGCCTGGGCGGTGTGGGAAGAAAACGATGCAGTCGAGATCCTCACACCTGAAGAATCAAGCCGTGTCCGACGAAGATTGGCTGGAGCACATGAAGGAAGCAAGATATTGACTCCTCGCTATGTCTTCACTGACAAGCATGAAGGATTGAGAACAGCTGAGAATCCTCTTCCTCTTCGTGCTCGGGCCAGGGTGATCGTACCTGGCTACAAGGATGTGTTCTCCTATAGCCTGCGAAAGGATGCGCCGACCGGCTCTCGTGTTGCTCAGCACCTTCTGTTCACATTCACAGCGAGTCAGGCTCGGGCAAGCAAGGAGTCGGAGAAGTTATGGAGGCTGATGTCGGCCGATGTCAAGTCCGCATTCCTCAAGGGCGATGCCTATGTGGACGGTCAAAGAGAGCTTTTCCTCGAGAATGTCAGAGGTGATGATCCGAAGCTCCCTTTCGGCGATTGCCTGGCGAAGATCAGAAAAGGGGTTTTTGGACTTTCGGATGCTCCTCGTCAATGGTACCTGCGGCTGAACCGTTCTCTACAGGCCGCCGGTTGGGAGCGAACTGTCTTTGACTATGCTTGCTGGCTGTTGTGGTCGGAAGACCGACAAAACTTGGAAGGCATCATCCTCTCCCACGTCGACGACCTACTGTTGGGCGGGAATGTCCGAGCCCAGAACAGTTTGCTGATGATTGGACAAGAACTCGGTTTCGGCAGCGTGGAGTATGATGACTTTGTCTATTGTGGGAAGCGAGTCCAGATGAAGTCCGACGGCTCCGTGGTGATCAACATGCAGGCCTACCACGAGAACCTCAGGCCTATGGAAATCAGCCTGGCCAGGCGAAAGACTCCGGAGGCTGAGCTGACGGAACAAGAGAGGAGGCAACTTCGTGCAGTGCTGGGCTCCCTTCAATGGCTGGTGGCCCAAGTGAGATTTGACCAAGGCTATGCCCTCAGCACTCTCCAAGGAGAGAAGCCCCTCGTTGGCACGCTGATCAAAGCAAATCAGCTGATCAAGGAGTTCAAGAGGCGACCAAACTTCTCGCTGACCTTCCAGCCGATGAACTTGGCGACTGCTGGCATCATGACCGTGTCCGACTCATCCCTGGGAAATGTTCTCAAGGGAGGTGGCAGCGAGGGAGAGCCCCATGAGAAGCACTATAGCCAGTCCGCCTACTTTGTGATTGTGGGAGACCAGGACCTCATGTCCGGCAAGGAAGGTGTGTTCAATGTCATCGATGCTCGAAGTCATCGCCTACCTCGGGTCTGTCGATCCACTTATGGCGCTGAGCTGATGGGAGTGGAGGAAGGCATGGACATGGGCATCTTCTGCCGAGGAGCGCTTGGAGCCTTCCTGGGACTTCCCATGGGACGGCGTGACGCCTTGAAAGTGATGGAGGTGATTCCCATGGTGGCCATCACAGATGCCAAGGACACGTATGACAGAGGCAATTCGGATTGCCCCACCTATGGTGCTCAGAAGTCAATGGCCTTTTCGGTCTGTTGGATCCGACAGGTGCTCAATGGCTCGAACTCCCACCTCAAGTGGACAGCCACGGCGAACATGTGGGTGGATGCCGGCACCAAGCTGATGCCTTGTGACCACATGCAGGGGATTCTTGAAAAGGGGAGGTGGAGCTTCGTGTACCACCAGGACTATGTGAAGCAGTCTCCCAAGAAGAAGGGCGCTGCGGAAGTGAGCGAGGGAGCCTTTTTGCCAGGTGAACCTATGGACACCAAGGCTCAGTTGTTTCAGTTCATTTTGAACCTCAGCAACCATATCGGTTGGCATGAGAAAGACAACGTCATTGTTCATGTCGCCTGTCCAGCCCGATCCTACCGGGTTCCCGATGCTCGATATGGTAGCACGAAGTACCCTTTTCGATCAACGTTCGCACGTTTTGATTTGAAGGACGGCCGTTCAGTTTGGAGGATCCTCGAACATAGAGAAGACCTCCGTGAGATGGAGAAGCGACAAGCCTTGTTGCCCTTCCCGGCCGGTTGTTTGGTGAGCATTTTCCTGTCGCAAGCCACAAAGAATGTTTGGCAGCTGAAGAAGCATGCTGCTAGCTAGGAAGGTGTCTTGGACAGGAAGCACCCATGTGTTTGGCGTCTGCAGGCGCCTCAGCCAAGCTACGTTCGTTTGCCCCGGTGAGAAAACCGCGTTCGCACGTGTGCCATAGACTCGTGCTGCATCATATATAGATTCTAGATGACTTGGGTGTTGTGTTGATGTTATGGAGGCAGCGTAGATGACACGCAAAGCCGCTGTATCGGCCAAATTTGGTGGCGAGGAATTATACAACGACTTGCACAAGAGCTATAAGGCAACGAGAAACCGCCACATGCCCCAGAAAGGATGGTCTTTCCAGCAGCAGGCACAGCAGAACAAGAACGAGATGAAGCGCTTGGGCGGCAGACGATAGCCTGGTTGTGGATTTAGAAGCACTGCCACTATCCAGCTGATGAGTACCATGTCCACGAACCACCCCCTGACTGCGTACAGCGCCTTCGCCTCGAGCCTTCCCAGCGCAACGGGCAAGACCATGGGAGCGACTGAGGCCCAACCGGATCGGATTTCTGGCGATGGGAGTTTGCTCCTGGTAGCGTTCCTTGCTCCTAGTAGTAAGGCCAGGAGCCCCTAGTAGCGTTGCTGCTCCTAGGAGTTTGATTTTTGGTACGTGAGAATGAATCAACCAGCGAACCTGGTGCACTTGGCAACACTTGGCATTCCTTCTGAGAGCATCTCGCACTTCTCCGAGCAACCGCCATCGGACACCTTCACCTCTGACGGAGAGAGTAAAGTAGAGCTTTAGAACGTGGGAGGCCATCGCTATTAGGGCGCCATGCACCGCATCTGGGTGGAAAAGATGGCTCCGGAGCAGCGATCTATCATCGGGTTTCGATATCTCCAAGATCAATGGGTCATGTAAACAGCCACGGTGGAAACAGCCCTGGGAACCCAAATGGCCAGAGATTTGTCGAAGGGCCTTCCCAACTCGTCCAGTGAGGCTGAGCTGAGACCAAGCCTGGGCATATCCAGAGGCAGCGCAAAGCACTCAAGACAATGGGAAGCAGGACTGCTACAATGTACAACAATTTGCTAATTTAATCTAGTATATACATGGTTTCTGATTCTCATGGCAATGTCAAGACATTCCCATTTTTGGAATATCCTGGAATAGATCCCTCTTTGCAGCTATGTAACAGCTACCTCTATTTACGTCAGAAAACTTGCCGCCGCCTGAATGCCCACCTTGTGCTATTCTAGCTACCTTTCTTTAGGGCAACCAAGAGAATCAACATTCTATTCCGCGAGGGCTTGGGAAACTGCTAGACACGTCATACTTAGGCATGGTATTATTGATGACTAAGGCCCATGGCTTCTTGCCAGCCTTCCAAGCATGGGATTCCCTCGCGGGTTGTCCCGAGATTGTTGCAGGGCAACAACTGCAGAATGCAACGACATCCCTGCTGCGGCCACTGGCAGGTGGGGGGGCATTTGGCAGGTGGGGGCCATAGAGGAGGCCGAGATCATGCTAGGTGTAGGTTTTACTGGGTGGCTGGAAAGCAATTGAATTGCTTTCATCCTCCGATGATTCCCACGACGTTTCAAGCGACTGGTGCAGAAAGCTGAGTACCACGCAGGCCCACGAACCACTTGCCGCAAGTGTGATGATCCTCTGAACTTGGGCAAGGTAGTTCAAGAAACTTCTCAAACAGGAACAGGATGATAAAGGCATGCATTATGGGGCGAGGGTGACCAGCAGGCATCGGTGGGTTAGCAGATTACATCATGATGTCCTTGTGGGGTAATGCTTGAATATCCCAAATCCCATTCGTCTTTGGTGTGAGATACTTGGCTCAGGTCAAGCCACTTTGTGTGATGACCAATTTAAATAGAAAAACTCAGCAAGTTGGCGGTTTGCACAACGTTGTTTTAGGATGTTGATGGTTTTTTGTTGGCACGTGCCCAGGCTGATGGTGGAACCTCACAAGCAACCAGGTATCCCTGCAGTAGAACAAAAGTCGGTCCCATTTTTGGACTGTAGTTCACAGTTTGTCGTGTACTTGAGGCTGGTAGTTGCCCTGGTGCACTTGAAACAATGTGACTGCCAATGTATAGTATGTTGTGGAGATTTGTGGAGCAAAGTCACCCCACTCAGAAATAGAAGAGTGCTAGTTAGGGTGTGCTGAAGCAGTGCAGGGGTGTGCGGAGCTCAGGCAGGTCGATGACCCGCAAGATCAAACATCAAAGTACTTGCTGGGCCTGGGTATTTGAGGTCTTTTTTAAAACAGGGTTTGATACCAAAACGTAGCTGGATCATGATACGTGGTCCAACCCCCAGAGTAACATCCCAACTGCTCGACTGCGGCTGCCAGTTGCAGCTGCTGCCGGTGCGACAGCCGGAATAGGGCGCGGACGAGGCTTGGTGGCTCACATCGCCTTTCCGTTTGCCAGGCCAACCTAGAAGCAATGGCCGCCTCCAACCTAATAGCAATGGCCTCCAACCTAGAAGCAACGGCCTTTCCGTTTTTTTGATGTTCATTTCGATTTATAAAGCTGTCGCTGGGCACATAAGTTCAGTCGGTTTTGTGGCTCTGCTTTACTCCAATAGGCACGCATATGCTGCTTTTACTTGATGATGTCAAACATAGAAGCTATACTTAAGTTACTTAAGCTTAGTTGTTACCCGTTTCTCGCTCGTTAGTTAAGAATTCTAGAGTCCTACCCCCGGGGGCCTCCCCCAAAACAGTGTCACTTTTGTCGCCTCAAAGTTGAACTGCCCAGCACGGACGATGCAGGTCGCAGCAGGGTCTTCCAAAGCGCTGAGAGGCAAGGTGGTGGCGGGAGGTTGAGGAATACACCAATGAGGATGGCAAGCCAAGAGCCCAAGATATGAATCGTGCAAACAAGCTGGACATTCGGGCAATGAACCAAGGAATATGAAGTGATGAAGACCTGCTGTTCTGAGAGCTATTGCATTTTTTGCTTTGGTGGGGATGATGAGGACTCGGTGCCTTGCTTGACACCGATAGTTTGCAAGCTCTTTTTGGATAGACATAGATACAGTAGGTACCTATCTGTAGACCCCGAATGAAGCAGATGCTGATATGACCGAGTGCCTTAGTAGTACCTGCTCCTAAATTTGCACTAGCCACCCAATCTGAAGTCCACTTGCCTCCTGTGGCAGTGGCGTTTGGACCACCCTTAAACAAATCCAACTTTTCGAAATGACTAGTTGCTGCTTTTATCGCCTTTGTTGGTTTTGGGAGGTGTCCAGTGAATCTTGTGGTTGACCAGTTGGTTTGGGTCCATGCGACGTTTCTGACATGATAAACTTCACAGGTTTCAATTGTCCTAAAATGGGAGCCCCTTGCTTTTGGAGAGAATTTGCATATACGGCCAGCATACTTTCTTGCCACAGCTAAGACTGCATGAAATGTCTGACAGGCTTCATCCAGGCTTTCTGACAGGGCCAGTGATCTTCCTCCACCAACCGGTTCTGCTTGAGCTTTCCCCACCGAGGTCGAGCGCCACGGACTCTGACGAAGACTTCGACTATGGGGTCTGGGGCCCCTGAATTCAAAGCTGCTCGGTTTTCGAGCCAAAAAGAACTTTGCTCATTTATGATTAGTGTTTTACTTTATTTGCTCCATGAAGTCATTTTGGCAGAAGAAAGATACCATTTTTGTGAGAAGATAAGGGTTTTGGTCTGCAGTTGATCCATTTTGATTTCCTCAGGTTTCCCCGAAGCTGACATGATGCGGGTTTAGGGCACCACCGGCCACCGGCGCGGCCGCACTGAGGCTGGCAAGGCCTACTGGGACAAGCGCTACCAGGCCCGGACATGGGAAGCGACTTCAGAGGTTTGAGGATGGCAATGGAGGTATGGAGGATGAACCTGCTATATTTTGATGAAAAGGACTGCTCGAACCGAAGATCGTATTGGGAGATGTGGATCTTTCTTTTGAGGAGTGGACCGATTGGAGCTATTTGTGATCAGAGGCTCAAGTGCCTAAAGTCTCTCTGAAGTGGCCCTGCGGTTGATGGAAGACATGCTGCAGGTTGATCTACAGTCAAATTAAGTAGGATTGAAGCTTTCACTCCACTTGTGATTGCCTTCACCAGAGAGAGGATGTCCCCGTCCCCGTCAGTCCCCCGCGCCCCAGAATGAAGTGGGAAACACCTACGACTGGCAGGGGGCCTAATTGCTTCAGCTTCATGTGCCCTTGAGCAAATGAAAAGAACCTGAAAAGCATTGTCTATACGAACCACGTATGATAAGTTGACTATGACTATGATGAATAGTCAGAGACATCTATGATATAATATAACTACATACAGCACTATAAGGGTTCATGACGAATGAACACACATTGGAGATACTTCATACAGTAAGGTTTCCGTTGAAACGGTTTATTGGGTCCAATCGCAGTGGGTCTTTGCTTGGCTCAGGGATGAGCAGCGACTGGTGAAGTAGGAGAAAAGGAGGGGTACTGCGCGGCTTGCAAGCAGTCTTCACATCAGCAAGGTCTCACTCACATCGGCAAGGTTGACCGATTTTTGTATGGCATTTTGGCTGTTTGGGTACCGTCAATTGCAGCACGTCATGTCCTTTGGCCATGTTGGCTGGGCTTGGATCGGCTTTGATGTTGTAACTTCGACCGTACTGAGGTTGGGAGGCTATGAGAAGTTCAGTGAGTTCATTGAGCGCCTTGCCAGTGCTCATTGAACGGTTTGGTCGATTTGGGCGGAAACGAATGGGCAGCTTGGAAGCTTTCAGGGCGGTGCAGGCGAAATGTGTCGGCTTTAGAGGGGCACAAGATCTTCCGCGTCATTGGAAGCAGAATGAACCGTATGGATCGTGGTGGACCTAGACAGAGCCATTACGGAACTGCCCACCCTGGTGCATCCAGTGGTGCCAAAAACATCAAAAAAATCGGGTGGATTGGTTTTTGTGAAGGAAACACGATTTGTACGATCTAATATGTGTCTCATGATGTGCCATGTGTTTGTTTGTATCAACGTATATATATGTATATATATATATATGTATTATAAGTTATAACTATTATTATATGTAATGTATGTACATACAAATATATACAATTGTATTTACACGTTCACGGCCCAGGGCTACACACAAGTCACAAGATCATGCAAGCAATGCTTGTGGCCAGACTGGTGCACAAAGATCGAAGATTTGGTGCCTAGCTCCGCAGCTTTCCAACTTAGAGATGATTGAACATATTTTTCGGTGTGCGGCCTTCTCCAGGAGAAAGGCACAGGTTGCCAAGGTTTAGCAGCCTAGCAAGGTTACCAACCGGGTTAGCTATATACCCACATAAACCTACGCGCTGACCTTTGCCAAAAATGTGTGTCAACTTGTCAACTTTGGATTCTGGTAGCTGATTGTAGGTCTCGAACATACAATGCCAAGCGAAGAATACACATTTCGTATTTGATCGCCCAATTCTTTTTCCAATGCCCGTGTTCATCCAATCCCTTTTAGTTCGTCCCTTGTGACAGCGGAGGTCTGCAACCAAAGACTTGTCTGAGTTGGAGGCTGAGATGGACCCTGACAAGTTGATGGTCGAAGCGGACAGAGATGGACAGATGGACATAGATGGACTGTTTAGACGATGGACTTCGTGCATAGCTACTTTGGAGGGAATCAATCACGACAACACACAGGGATTTTAAACCGCACAATGTAGCCAATAGTATTAATCTAATGATTCTAATGCTATTCTGGGTGTTCCTTCAAATTGAGAGTTGGGAGGCCCCCTACCAACCTCTTGGGCCAGGGTGTTCTCCCTTGAGGAGATAAACCTAGATATCAT